AAAAAAAAAAAAAAAAAAAAGAATGGGTGCTGGCTGCCTATTTTGCAGTGCACGAGTGAGCCCTATTCCTGCCTGGCTTTTACAAGCTTTTAAGACCCCCTAACTCTCCAGTTTTTCCCCATTGCTCTATAATTTGACTCCTCACCCTGGTCAGATCTATATACTTACCTACCATGTCCCTCGCACGTCCATTCCCATCTCCGGCTTCACCTGCGTTTTTGGACTTTCCCTCCAGCTACAGCAGGGGGATGGATTGGAAGCAGAGACACCCAAGGCAGGAAGACCACTGAAGTGGCTGTTGCTGTCAGCTAAAAGGATTTGAGGCCTGGCCTCTGGGGGACTCAGGAGGAGGGTTGGCTAGCAGAGATGTTTAGGAGGCAGGGCCCAGGGTCACCATTCCTAGCTTCAAGAGGGATGGATGGGTAATGAGCCCCTTTGAGGGCCTAGCACTTTGGGGGTTTCTCGTTGTCCCAGGTAAACACCTACCAAGACCGTGCCTTCACATTCCTCAGCCAGAGCCTGGAGTACGCCAAGAACCCACGGGCCTCCCTCCGGAAGTCCTCAGTCATGTTCATAGGTAACCTGCCCTAGCACAACTATTCTTGCTGCCAGGGCTCTGCCTGCTCTCCATTTTGCTTCCTCCCAGGCTGTCAGCCCTTCCTTGACCTGGGTGGATGCCTCCCCTTGGGTGCAAGACATGGCCAGCAGACAGCCATGGTGCAAATTGGAATGTCCTTCCTCACTCTAAGATCATGGCTTAGGAAATGGGCCACAGGCTGGATTCAGCCTGAAGTCTTTGTGCGGGGCGTGACCTTGGCAACCGTACGCAGCAGAACTGCTGCTCCCCACTGGAGTACAGCCTGAGCCCAAGCCCAGCAGGAGCCTGGGCTAATCCCCTGTTGACCGTGGCAGGAGGGACCATGCAGCACAGTAGAAAGAGTCATGTAGAATCTCAGCTCCATGATCTTATTTGTGTGTGATTCAGCTGGGTCATTTATTTCCACTGAGCCTCAGTTTCCTCATCTGTAAGATGGGGACCAACTTCTGTTTCACAGACTGGATGAGAAGGTTTTTTGAAAGGTGAGGCCTGGCACGTGAAGGTGCTCAGTGTTAGTCACCTGCATTCTATTCCCCACAATTCCAACCTCTGCCTTTCTGGAAAAGAACACAGAGCAGATTGCCCACTGCCCAGAATCCCCCCATAGGACCCTTCTGACAGCATGCTGGGCATGTCTCCTCCCAGCACTCACCCCTGCCCCAAATGACCACATATCCTTCACCAAGGACCAGGAAACCTTGTAAAGAGGCTTGGAGATGATACCATTTGTAAGGTGATGTTTCTTTTAGTACCTTTCCCCAATTCATCTGCTGTTTTTCATCCATCCAGTAACCCATCCACCCATCCGGTGGGTTGATCCCCTACTCCAAAGCATGATGCTTTGGCTGGAAAAACAAAGAGCCCTTCGGGAGGGGGTGCAGGTGGAGGTGGGTTGGAGGCTGTGGCTGTTGACACGGTCCATGTTGGGACAGAGGAGCATCAACCAGGACTGGGGGCATCCCTCAGAATGTGGGGGGCAGCTTCTCACATGGAGTGACATCTATTCCCTACATGTTGATTTCTTTAAATCTTGCTCCAAATCGGTCACCTGTAAAATCATCAGTGTTTACCAACTGGGAATCTTCTCTGTGCTGGGGAAACGAAGCTGAGTGGAGCCTGGATCTGTCTGTAGACAGCTCCCAGCACAGTGCAGTGACTTCTGACCTCTTTGGGGTTATGAGCCTTCTATGAGAATTCTGAAGATGGTTGTGAACATTTTCCCTAGGGTTCAAAAATGCATACAATTTAGCATGTGACGTTAAGGTCCTCAGAGACTGCCCCTCTCCCTCTCATCCCCTAGTGGATCTAAGGTGAAGAAACTTCTGGTCTGGCAGGAGATGAAGATTCATAAATCACAAGTGAAATACAACACAGTGTATACAGACAGAGAAAAGCTCTCAGATACTCTGGGAACCCAGAGAAGCATCTAACCTAGCTTGGGGGCAGGGGCAGGAAGGACTTCCTGAGGGAGCTACTTGTTAAATTAACTATTCAAGGACAAGAAGGAATTAGCCAGGTAAAGAAGTGAGGGAAAGGCCTTTTGAGAGGTCTAGCCTATTCAAGGACCTGCAGGTACCACGCGAGTCAGGCACGGGCTGGGAGCAGGGAAGGACCGAGTACTATTGCCGAGGAGTCCCTGGGAACAGATCCTTGACCCGGCACAGCTGAGTCTCGGCCTCCCCAGGGGCCCCGCTGCAGCCGTGCCTGACAGGTGCAAGGTGCTCTGGGCCCTGCATGTTATTGCTGCTCAAACTCCCTGCAGGGGTGGGCAGCAGAGGCAGCACTTCCCTGTGTCACAGATGAGGAAACTAAGGCCGAACCTTGGTAAGAGGCTAGCCTAGGGCTGCACTGTCAGAGTCAGCTGCAGCCCAGATCCTGCCCCCGTCTTGGGGACATCTCTGCCCACTGGACCAGCCATCTTTCCCAGGGCCCCTCTTGGGGAATCTGCCCCAGAGTCCAGATGAAGTTCTCCCTTTGTGTCCTCCTTTGTGGGGCTGGAGGATGGTGGGGACAGCTTCTCTGAGGAGGTCTGGTCCCAGAGTGGGATGTGGGGGGGTCAGAGTCAGGGGAAGGATGCACTGAACTCCTGGATTATGCTCAAGGGTCCCTGGTCCCCTGCATGGAGAGCATAATGACAGAGGATCGTCTGAATGAAGTGAAAGCTGGTAAGTCATGCGCTGGCTTGGCGAGATTTCAGGGGTCACGAAGAATGAGAAGGATCACAGTGGGTAATGGGGACAGGGAAGGGGTGTGTCCCAGGCAAGCCTTTTCAGCTCGGTTCAGTTGTGCTTGTCTTTATCCAGGGTGAACAGTGTTAGAAACCCTGGGGTTAGGAAGAGACAGAACTCACAGCCCCATCCTGGGGGAACTTACAAGCTCATTAAGAAAATGAGACCAAAATTTAGTTCAGGGCAAGTAGTTCAGGCTCTTAAGCTAGGGGGAAGGTTCATTTTATAACTGGGGAGCTGAAGGAAGCATTAGAGGAGGCTGGAGGAGTCCAAGAAAGCTTCCTGGAGAGGCAGTTTTGATTCAGGCTTTGTCAGATGTGAACAATTGGAAGGGCTGGGAGGAAGGGAGGTGAGGGGATTCTGAGCAGAGGGTGCCTAAGCCAAGGCATGAGGTGGGAAGGAAGGATGAGGTGTGAGACCCACATAGGGACCTGGTCTTAACATGTGGCCTCTCCCTGCTCCATGACCCAGCTCTGGAAAACTTGAGACGTGACCCAGAAGCATCAGTGTGCATCTACGCAGCCCAGGCCCAGGACCACATCCTGGCCAGCTGCTGGCGGAACTCCTGGCCGCTGCCGCACGGGGACCCGTGGGTGTGCGACCCCGCTGCCACACACCGCTGGAGCCCCAGCTGTGAGCACCTGCCCACTTCCCACCAGCGGCGCTCCTGGATCATGCAGGCACTGGGCTCCTGGAAGAAGTCCTTGAAGCAGTGATGTCCCCGAGCCAGTGTGGCTAAGCCCTAGGCATGCTCACTATAAATGTCATGTGGATCACCTCTCCACCCTGAACTTTTCCTCATGGGACATGCCCCGGGCTCTGGAGCAGCTGTCACTTGTGCAACAAGCTGTGAGAGGAGCACAGCCTTCATTTGTTGACTCAGCCAACATTTACTGATGCACACAGGCTGTTTTGTCCACATTGAATAAATGGGGAAACTGAGGCTCAGAAAGGTGAAATGGCTTGCCCAAGGTCACACGGTAAGTCTGCTGGATGTTTCAGTTTCTCCTCCCCACATTACAAGAACAAAAGGAAATGATGATTTGGGTGGCCCTGGGGGGAAAGAAAGACGAGGGAAAGAAGAGACACCCTCTGCATCCGCCCTGCCCATGACGTCATGCATATCTGGAACCCTGATCTCTGAGTCCCACCCTTGAGAATATTTAACAATGTCTGGAGACCTCTCTGGTTGTTGCAACTTGGGGGAGGGTGTGTTATTATCATCTAACGGGTAGAGGCCAGGGGTGCTGCTCAACATGCTACAATACACAGGACAGCCCCCACAACAAAGAATTATCCATCTAAAATCGTCAAAAGTGCCAAAGTTGAGGAACTTCGGCCTAATGGAAGTATCAGAAGCATATAAAGACACCAACAGCACAGCAGGCCTGCATGCGGGCTGTGGAGTCCAGAGGAAGTACATGGCCAGCTGGGGTTTGGGGCGTCAGAGGAGGATTCCCGGAGAAGAGACCTCCCAGGGGATTTGGAAAGATGATCACATGGTGAGAGTGTATGGAAGGGAACAGGGCACAGGGGACCAAGGACCAACTGCAGATATGTTGTGCGATGGAGCCTAGAAGTGGGTAGGGGACGGCAAGGGCCAGGCCACTAAGCCTTTGAGGCTAAGGAGGAAGACGTCATCCAGAGAGGAGCGGGAAGGCAGGGTGGGGTGCTAAGCAGGGGAGAGATGTAGGCAGATGTCTGCTTTAGAAAGCTCCCTTCTTGTGGGGATATAGGAACCCTTGGGCACTGCTGGTGGGACAGTAGATTGGTGCAGCTATTCTGGACAGGAACCTGTCACTACTCTGTCATGTTAAGTTTATGCATACCCATGAGCCAGCAGTTCCACTCATGGGCACACATCTTGGGGGAATCTTCCACAGGTCCGTACAGAGAGACGGATGAGGAAGTCTATTGCTGTTCTTTGCAGGGTTGGGAAGAGTAGGCCGGCTGGGCGTCCATCTCTGGGGAGGGAATGTTGCTGTGGAGCCCCGTGCAATGGTTAGAGACAGTGGGGGTACATGCAGCACCACACGTGGGACCCAAAGCCCAGTGCTGAGTGAAAAAAGTATATTAAAAAAGTGTGCACAGGCCGGGCGCGGTGGCTCACGCCTTTAATCCTAGCACTCTGGGAGGCCGAGGCGGGCAGATTGTTTGAGCTCAGGAGTTCGAGACCAGCCTGAGCAAGAGCGAGACCCCGTCTCTACCAACAGAAAAGCTGTGCACATGGAAGTTGGTACAGAGCCGGGCATGGTGGCGCATGCCTGTAGTCCCAGCTACTTGGGAGGCTGAGGCAGAAGGATTGCTTGAGCCCAGGAGTTTGAGGTTGCTGTGAGCTAGGCTGATGCCATGGCACTCACTCTAGCCAGGGCAACAAAGTGAGACTCTGTCTCAAAAAAAAAAAAAAAAAAAAAAGTGTGCACAAAAGCATCCACATTTTGCAAGAACACTTTCAAACTGAGAAGACACATTAAAGCACACTAGAATGATTGAGTAGGGTGGGGGGCAAGGAGGAGGGCTCTGGGGTACAGAAGGGAAGAAATGGAAGGGGAAGCAGAAGAAAGCTCACTCTGCAGTGGAGTGAAAGGGCTGGGTGGCGGGCGCACAGGAGCACAGACAGGGAGACCTGGCCAGACAGTGCCGAGGGAAGGGTGGCCAGGCTGTGCAGTGTAGAATGGAGTCCTGCGGGAGAGTGAGGAAGGGGAATTTCAGAACCTGGTGGTTGACAGGTTGGAGGAGGGAGAGGGAGGTGTTGAGGATGGCACCCAGGTTGCTGGGTGGATGACTGAGCCAATGGGCCCCACAATGAGTGGTGAGCCCAGGACCAGGAGCAGGTTTGGGGTACAGGGGATGAGTTCAGTCTGGACATGGTGAGCTTGAGGGACTGTGCAACAAGCTAGTGGAGACAGACATGTGGTTGGCTGCTGAGATGGTCCGAATGTTTGCATCCCCCAAAATTCATCTGTTGAAATCCTATCCCCCAAGGTGATGGTATGGGGAGGTGGGTCCTTTGAGAAGTGATTAGGGATTAAGGAAAAGGTTTAGTGCTCTTATAAGACAGACTCTGGAGAGCTCCCTCACCCCTTCTACCATGTGAGGACACAGTGGAAAGATGGCATCTATGACCAGGAAGCAGGCCTGCCAGACACTGATCTTGGACATCCCAGCCTCCACATTTCTGTGAGAAATAAACGTGTGTTGTTTATGAACCACAAAGTCTATGGTGTTCAGTGCAGCAGCCTGATGGACTAAGACAGCTGCATGGGGACGGAACTCAGGAGAGGGGTCTGAGAGAGAGACAGATTTGGGACTCATCTGCATACAGTGGGTGGGGTGGGACTTTCTTGGGAGAGTGTGTACAGTGGGAAGAGACACAAGCCTCAGGAGCACCTACTTTAACATCCTTTTGGGGATGAAGAACCCATGAAATTGACCATACAATCCAAAAAGTGGTAAACCAAGGCCTTGAGGATTCTGGGCCTGAGTGAGATCAGGAAATAGGGGTGTTCCATTTGCACAACCCTTCCCATTGCCAAGAATGCTCACAAATATTGCCTCCTTTGAGTCTCACAGAATCCCTGTGGATTATGGGGAAGGTAGACTGGTTTTCTTGCCCACATTCTACAGATAAGGACACAGCTTAAAGAGGGATAGCCTTACCCAAGGGCACACAAGAGAACCCATGGAAGTGTGGGTCCCAAAGTTCTCCTGACTCCCATGCCCAAGCCCTTTCCACCAGAGACACTGCTGCTTTCATTGGCCAGAGTCCAGGTCAGCTGCAGTATTCTGGGTCTGGGTGCCTTGGAGCACAGCAGAGGCTGATTGGCTCAGTTATTAGCCAAGGCCCCTAAGTAATCTTGAGTTGGAAGGTTCACAGAGTACTAAGCAAGTCACTTCTCTGTTGTTACCCATAAAATGGGTTTGTACCTCACAATGCTCTTAAAGGATTCAAATGGGAAAAATGGAAGCAAAAGGACTCTGTAGGTTCTGAACTCAAGAAGGGGAAAGATGATGAACAGGAGAATAACGAAGGGAACCAGGGTCAGGGTGCACGGTTGGAAGGGGAAGTGTGGAAATGGAGGTTTGGATTTGGGGGAAAGGGAGCACCTGGACCAGTTCTGCTGGGAGTGGGAAAATCAGAAGGGAAAAGACAGAGTCCCGGAACTGGAAGGCTCAAGGTCCCTCATGCATCATCCTTAGCCCTGCAGTCTTCCTCATCCACATATCAAAGAATGACCAACCTGTCAGCTCCAGTGCTGGGCTCCAGCTCTCTCTTCTTCCTTGGTATCTCACCAGCAGCCCCCCCGACCCCCATCAATCCTTCACCTGGCAGCCCAGGCAGGCCTTCCTAAGACAAATGTGCTCCTGGCCTCCCTCCCCTTAGGTCATTTCAGTGGCTGCTGTCCTTGGCAGGATAAAGGCCAATGGGGCAGGCAGGCCTTCTGGCTCCCCCACACCTTGCTGGCCACACCTCTTAACTCTTACAGTACCCAGCACAACAGGCTGGTGCACACCTCCATGCCTCTGCACATGGGCTCCCCTGCCTAAAATGCCCGGCTTCCCTCCAGACCTCTGTCCATCTGCAGACATCTTCCTCAGCTCTGCTCTCAGCTCTGCATCACCTTCTATGTGGAATCTTTCTGAATCCCCGCCCCTCTGTGCCTCCACTGAGCAGATGTGTGACCCAACGCGGGTTTAGATCGGTCTGCTTCCTGTCTGTTCTTTGTTCTAGACCAGGCTAGGAGCTCCCCAATGCTGTAGCACTGGCACAGGGCCCTGCAGCCTTTTGCTGGCGAATGAGGTGGCTGCCGGAAGCCACAGTAGCTGGGTGACCAGGCCTGCTGCACCTGGCCTGGAGATCCTGTTTCCAGTGCAGCCACGGGGGTTACTGGGGTGACTATGTTCAGAAACAGGGGTCCCATCAGTCACTTCTTTCCTCAAAACTCTCCAGAAGGGCCCACCCCACTCTGAGGAAGAGCCAAGTCCTCACAATCACAGCCCCTTTATCCCTCCCACCTTGTCATCTATTCGTCCCCTTCCTCTCACCTGGCCAGCCTCACTGGCCACAGCACAACCCTGCTTCCGCCTCAGGGCTCGTCCTGCCTGTTCCCCGTCTGGGGAAGAGCATTCCCTCCCAGGCTTCTTGCGTTTTGCTTGGAAGCCTGCCCACCCTGTTTAAAACTGTCCCCAGGCACTTGGTACCACCTTACAAACTCTTACATCTCATCTGTTTAGTGTCTCTCTCCCACCAACTTAGCAAATCCTACAGGGCCGGGATTTTATGTGCTTTGTCCACCATTGTATACGCTGCGACTAGACCAGGCCAGGAACACAGAAGGAGCTTAGTGTGTGTTGACGAGCTAACAAATGAGGGAACGAAGTGTGGGTTTCGTGGGGATTGGGTTTATCCACCACTCCAAAAGCATTCGGGACGGGCGGGGCTGAGGCACCACAGAGGGCCCTCTGGGGCAGGGGGGTGGCGCTTGTCCGGGGATGGGTGGGGCGGGCCGGCCACGCCCCCAGGCCGGCGGAACCCGAGGCGCGCGGGCTGGAGCAGCACGGAAGATTGAGGGACGGACGCCCGCGCCGCCGGAAAGAGCAGCTGTCTTCACTGCGCCGGGACCCGGACGGGAGGGCTGGGGTCAGCTATGGAGCAGTCTGAGCCGGACGTTGCCTCGGAAGACGCCATGGACTCCTTCCTGGAAAAGTTTCGGAGCCAGCCTTACAGCGGCGGCTTCCACGAGAATCAGTGGGAGGAGGTGGGCGGTCCCGGGGGCTTCGCACGTGTGTGGGGGCGTCGTCCGGACTTCTGAGGTTCCCCAGCTTGGGCCGCCGCTCTCACCCTCAGATCCCTGGCGCTACCAGCGGATGAGTGGCTTCTAGTTGAGTATTAAAAATTGACCTCGAGGCTTTGAGGGGCTTCTTAAGCTATCGAAACATTTAAGAGTCTAGGTATGAGAGTACCTGTGGCTCCACCACTTACTGGCTCTGATACGGGTCACTTCTCTGAGCCCGTTTCCTCGTCTGTAAGATTACCCTAACTATAGAATCAATCTTGTAGGCAAACGTGTGGCAAACGTGAAATGAGATGGTGGGTAAAATGCCAGGAACGTAAGGGCGCTCGATTAATGGTAATTACCACCGCTCTTGTAGCATGTGAGCACTGAAGGAATCATTAGAGATTGTTATTCTACACTCTCCTTTTACAGAAGAGCAACTGAGGCCAGGATAGGTATAGCCAATCATGATGATTTGCAAATCATGATGAGTAAGAAAACTTTGAAGAGCGGTGGAATTGGATCTGCTCAGTAGAAAATCTTATTTATGTAGTTCATTCTCTTAACAATCTCCAGGAATTTGAAAAGGTCCCCCTATTTATGAAGGAAGCACCATCAGAAATTGATCCCAAGGAGAATCCTGACTTGGCGTGCCTCCAGTCAATTATTTTTGATGAGGAGCGATCTCCAGAAGGTATTTTCCCTAACATTTTTGTATCACAGTTGAATTGAGATAAAGTGTGAGTCTAAAAGGTTCTGATTGATAACAAGAAGTAGTTAGCCTGAGCTAACTTGTCACTATTCATTCCATACATACTTCTTTGAATACCTACTAAATGCTAGGCATAGGGGATACAGGGGTGAATAAGACACATTTCCTGCCCTCAAAAGTCAGGCTCCAGTGAAAAGCCAAATTGCCCCAAAGAATAAAGATGTGTGATAAGTGCCAACATGTAGTTGTATACTTTAGCTGTAGCTGTTGGAATTCTCAAGGGGCAGGAGTGAGCTCATAACAGATTGGACATTTGAGCTGAATCTTAACAATTTTGGAGGCTTTTACTAGAGTGATGAGGGAAATTTGCACTCCAGAGAATGAAACAACATAAGCAAAAGCAGAAGTATAATTCTGCTCCCCCTTCTTCAGTAATTAAAACAAAAAAAGTCCTTTCTCTAAGAGCTAGGATAGGTATACTTTTTTCCTTTACGCTTCTTATTTTTGTAAGCACTTAGTAATCTCCTTCAAAAGGTATTTGGTATTAGCATGACTTTGTCTCCATGTCGATACCTATTTTTATCATAGCATTAATTTTTAGTTTTCTTGTTGGTTGCTTTCTTTGGTTTATCATATATAACATTATTGCATGATTTAGAATCTTTTTTCTTTTTTTTTTTTGAGACAGAGTCTTGCTCTGTGGCCCAGGCTAGAGTGCTATGGCATCAGCCTAGCTCACATCGACCTCAAACCCCTGGGCTCAGGCAATCCTCCTGCCTCAGCCTACCGAGTAGCTGGGACTACAGGCACTTGCCACCTGCTCTGCTAATTTTTTCTATTTTTAGTAGATATGGGGTCTCGCTCTTGCTCAGGCTGATCTTGAACTCCTGAGCTCAAGCGATCCTCCCACCTTGGCCTCCCAGAATGCTAGGATTACAGGCATGAGCCCCCATGCCTGGCCTTAGAATCTATTTTTAATGAGCCTTTTAAAAAGTAGGAAATAGTGATTATTTCTGTTCTTCTTTGCAGAACAAGCCAAGACCTATAAAGATGAGGGCAATGATTACTTTAAAGAAAAAGACTATAAGAAAGCTGTGATTTCTTACACTGAAGGATTAAAGAAGAAATGTGCAGATCCTGATTTGAATGCTGTCCTTTATACCAACCGGGCAGCAGCACAGTACTATCTGGGTAATGTATTTCATTATTAAATGCTTTCTAAAGAATTAACCTTTGATAAAAGCCAGTATGATGGCTGGTGGAGGATTTGACAGTAAAAGAGGAATAAGGGCTGTTTATCCCAGAAACCTAGACTAAGGATAGTTTACTCTAATTGAACTCTGATCTTTCAGGTAGACTTGGTAAAAAGGGAAACATGAAAGATTGTATAATTATTACCATCTGAACCAAAAATGTGACTTAGTCACTCTGGTAAGGTATTTGATGCTTACTCAAATGCTTCTCTATCAGAAAATGTTTTTTCTAGCCTATTATCCTCTTTTCAATAATGCTAGAAGGATTAAGGCTATAGAGATCTTTGGGTGAGAAAAGGTATATTAATCTAAGAAAGAATTTCTCAAAGAGTATTCTGCGGGACCCTTGAAGTAAAAATTATTTCTTAGATAAAGAAGTTTAAAAAATGCTGCTGCTTTGTTGGAGATTTGAAGAGGTAACCTACAACAAAGAATCTTACCCTGGGTTTCTTAAGTTTTGTAAGCTTCCTCTTCAGTTAACACTAACATCATGCAGGGCTGTTCTGCAGATGTGACTTTGGGAAATGCTGATTATTTGAATGGTATTATTGCTGGTGACATGTTAGACCTGTGTTTCTTATCACACAGTTTAGAGAGGACCTGGGAGTGACTTTGGCATTTTTGAAGGGAAGGTGTGCTGAAATTTCATAACATCATGCCTTGGTATGGTCCTATGTGTTGAGTGTTCAATGGACCTTTTCGGTCTGGGAACTCATGTTTCCAGGAAATTTTCTTGAATTGATATTTTTCTTCTTTCTTCTTACTCTGTTTTCTCTTTTTGGAAATTCTGGCTGCTGGTGCTTTGGGAACCAAGTAGGGGAAAGGACTAAGGGCTCAATATTTAGTATTTCCTTGACTGAGTCACCAATATGCCTGGGGGTCTCCATCCAGAGATGTACTGTTTTATTGTCTGCATACAATAAACTTCCAGTCTACTGCCAGAATGGGAAAGAAATGGGTCTCTGCCACAGCAGAGGGGTAGGGAATGTGGGAATCTGATTGCTTCTTAAGCAGACTTTCAAATCACCTTAACCCCCCACTCCCTCCCGCCCCTACTTCCAGAGGTACCCGGTACCATCAAATTCTGAGTCCTGAGTACTTTGTAGTTTCTGTAGGATACCTTAGTGGCTTTTGGGCTTTTCCTCTACTGGCTTAGAATTCTACTTTCTCAAGCCTGATATATCAGTTAGTTCTTGTCCTTTTGTTTTCCTTCCAGCTTTTAAAATGAGTTCTGTGTTCTTCTCATTCTCTTTGTCTCTGGGTTTATGGCTTTTGGTGGAGTGGGGGGACGCGATTTGAGTTAAGTCTATGTGTTCAGTCTATCTCCTTTAACCAGAAGTTGGATCTCTTTTATATACATTTTTTTTCCTTACAGTTGAGATCCTACAGTTCTTCCAGTTTTGTATTCAGTTTTTTTCACTTAGTTTTACTTTAATTTTTGTTTAATAGAGATAGAGTCTTGCTCTGTCACCAAGGCTGGAGTGCAGTGGTGCAATCATAGCTCACTGGAGCCTCAAACTCCTGGGCTCAAGCAATCCTCCAGCCTCAGCCTCCTGAATAGCACGTAGAACTACAGGTGTGTGCCACCATGTCTGGCTAATTTCTTTTTTATTTTTTGTGGAGATGGGGGTCTCACTTGAGGCCCAGTCTGGTCTCAAACTCCTGGCCTCAAACAATCTTCCCGCCGTGGCCTCCCAAAGTGCTGGGATTATAGGCATGAGCCACCACACCAGCCTCAATTAATTTTATAACAAACAATTTTACCTTTCATTAAAAATTATTTCTGAATACTATTTTAATAGCTACATAAAGTTGCATTATATGGACATAACACTGTTTATACTACTTGCTTTACTATTCTATTCTATATATTCTATATAGTCTGCTTTTAGATTTTTAAAATAATGCAAAAATGAACAAAGTTATAAAATTTTTCCAATAATTTTGATGATTCCTTAGGCTAAAGCAGTATTAGCAAAGTGCCTCACAGGCCATATCTGCACCCCCCTCCCCCCCACCCTACAGCTTGCCATGAACTAAAAATGTTTCTTATCTTACATTTTTAAAGGATTGTAAAAAAAAAAAAACAAGAATGTGTGATAGAATACACATGGCCTGCAAAACCTAAAATATTTATCTGGCCCTTTAGAGAAAAATTTTGCCGATCCCTAGGCTAGAGTTTTAGAAGGTAAATACTAAACCATTAAGTAATATTTATAATATAAACCACAAAGCGAAAGTCTCCCTCATGTCCTCCTAGTTTAGATAACTGGTGTGTTTGTGATTGCATACCTTTTTTTAAATACACTTACAAATATATATCTGTGTGTGTGTGTTTCTGTATATTTGGTTTGTTTGTTTTACAAAAATAGGCTCGTATTATACACATAGAATCATGTAAAACAATATAGCACAGACATCCTACCATATCTCTTACGTACAGATCTATCTCATTCTTTTTAATGACTGCATATTCAATAGTATGGATTTATCTTAATGTATTTAATCATTACCAAATTGAGGATATTTGGATTATTTCCAGCTTTTCACAATTAAAAGTAATGCTACAGTTAACATGCTTTTGCATTTATCCTTGCACATTTGTACAAGTATTTAAGGATAATTTCCTAGAAGGAAATTATTAAAGTTTGCAAAGCACCTACGAGATTCTCGAAGAAAAGGTGAAGGAAGGAAGGAAATTATTGGGTCAAAGCGTATGTACAGGCCGGGTGTGGTGGCTCATGCCAGTAATCCTAGCACTTTCGGAGGCCAAGGCAAGAGGATCACTTGAGGTCAGGAGTTCAAGACCAGCCTGAGTGAGACTTCATCTCTATAAAAAATAGAAAAATTAACTGGGCATGGTGGCTCAGGTGGGAGCATCGCTTGAGCCTAGGAGTTTAAGGTTGCAGTGAGCTATGATGACACCACTGCACTCTAACCCTGGCAGCAGAATGAGACTCTGTCTCAAAAAAGAAAAAGTGTATGTACAAAGTGCATGCTAAGTTGCTCTCTAATTTACCCCATGTACCCTTTTCCTGTATCTTCACCAATACTGGATATTATCTGTCTTTAATTTTTAGCAATTTCATGTTAATTTTAATTTCCTAATCATGAGTGGTATTGAACATCTTTTCATGTGCTTACTAGCCATTTATAGTTCCTGTGTGGTTTGCCTTAATAAACATTTCTAAGGCTCCTGATGAACACAACTATTAATATATTTTTCTAAACACAGTTGCTCTGATTTATATTTCTCCAGGATTATTCAAGGGTGTCTTTTTCACTACACACAAAATTTTGCAAACATTTTGATCTCAAAACTTGTTCTCTCTTTTACTAAATGGTGTTTCGTTAGGCAATTTTCGTTCTGCTCTCAACGATGTGACAGCTGCCAGAAAGCTAAAACCCTGCCACCTCAAAGCAATAGTAAGAGGTAAGTCTTGTAGAACTACACTACGATTGTCATTATGGGAAAGCTATTACTCACTGCACCAAAAATTGACATTTAAAGCTTTGATATTAAGGTACTGGGATACTAATGAAATCACCTTATTTTTGTAATCTTGATATTAAGTTGCTATTCTTTATCAATAGCAACATGCCACTTTTGAACGAATAACCTAAAGAATGATCTAACCCTTTATGTTTTAAGAATTTGTAGAGAAATTGAAACTCCTCATTTTAAATTAATAATGAATGAAATTAATTAAAACAAAGCAGTTCCAAAAGCCACATTCTAATTTTTTTTCCAAATTAGCTGATTGAAAGGTGAAATCTTTAAATGTCATGCTAATGTTAATTAAAAGATAAGTTGTGGGACCTTTGCTGATAACTCTGATGCTGAGATGTTCGCAGATTTTTTCTCTTGTAGTCTGACCTTTCCATGTAATAATAGTGCTTTTATTACTTTTATACTTCACCTTTTCTTTGAGAATCTCGTAGGTGCTTCGCAAACTTTAATTTATTCATCATATATTAATCTTCTCTACATCCCCATGGACCTGCTTAAAATGCTTTATCGACGTTATGCCTCTTTAGATGTTCACAGTTAGGGGCAATAAGTAGACCCACATCGCTCAGCTGTAGGGAAAGAAGTTATTGAACAAAGATTGGCATATAAATTGAGTGTAGTCCTGTGGAATTAGCCTCAGGCTGGAATTGTATAATCCTTGATTCAGCTGTTAGTTTTACTTTACAGTGTAATCTTGGTAAGACACCCACTCTGAGTATCATTTTACTCATCTCTGGAAGATGGCGTTAGGTTCTGTTGACATCTAAGCCCTTACTATTCTGATATTTTGCAATTCTGTGGAAAGCCTAAAGAGGTTAACTGGAGAAAAATGAACATGAGTACATTTTTTAAATTAATTAATTAATTATTTATTTTTAAATTTAAGGACAGGGTCTCGCACTGTTGCCCAGGCTGGATTGCAGTGGCATGATGATAGCTCGCTGCAGCCTTGAGCTCCTGGGCTTAGGCAATCTTCTTGCCTTAGCCTCCCAAGAAGCTGGGACTACAGGCATATGAGCTACGATACCTGGCCTAAAAAAATTCTTACTAGAAAGGAGAGGCAGCTTAAACTGGTAGCCATAAAGGGCAAAATTAGGAGAGACCTAATGTCTTTGGTCTTGCCACTACGTTGGTAAGTGGCTGAGGCAGATTCTTTCTGTCTCCGTTTAAAAAATCATCTGAGATGGACTTTATTCTTCCTATTTACAGACGAGGAATCTGAAGCTCAGAGACACTTGGTCCTTTGTCTAAGGTCTGGCTGGTAAATGACATAGCCAGATTTCCATGTCAGATCTGTCTCATTCCAAAGCTTGTGCTCTTTGTCACTAGGCTGTAGCCGTCCCTACTTTAAGAGTCCTTAGTACCAGGGAGACTTACAGGATTTTTGAGCTGAATGGGGCCTAGGGGTCTTTCTGATCTAGCATACAAAAAATATTCTTCCTTGTCTGGGGATAGTAGTGTAAGGGGCATTATCTTCCATGTTCTCGTCAGGGTGCTGGCTGGTAGCTGGTGGGTGTGGGAGGTCCTGCTCAAGGTGAGTTCTTTCCATTGCATGTTTTTCTTGGATCTTAAGGGTTCTGAGTTCTGCAGGTGCCTTATGCCATCTGGAACTGAAACACTTTGCTGAGGCTGTGAACTGGTGTGATGAGGGGCTGCAAATAGATGCCAAAGAGAAGAAGCTTCTGGAAGTGAGGGCTAAAGCAGACAAGCTGAAGGTTTGTGAAAGTCAGCAGCTAATTGGCATTTGATAATTAGCATTAATTATCATTTCCCAGATTATGTCTCTCAGATCATCCTAAACTTTTTCTTTAAAACTTTGTTTCTGGCCGGATGCAGTGGCTCACGCCTGTAATCCTAGCACTCTGGGAGGCTGAAGCGGGTGGATCGCTCAAGGTCAGGAGTTCAAGACCAGCCTGAGCAAGAGCGAGACCCCGTCTCTACTAAAAAATAGAAAGAAATGATCTGGACAACTAAAAACATATATATAGAAAAAAAAAATTAGCCGGGCATGGTGGCACATACCTGTGGTCCCAGCTACTCGGGAGGCTGAGGCAGAAGGATTGCTTGAGCCCAGGAGTTTGAGGTTGCTGTGAGCTAGGCTGACGCCATGGCACTCACTCTAGCCCGGGCAACAAAGCCTGTAATCCTAGCTCTCTGGGAGGCTGAGGTGGGTGGATCGTTTGAGCTCAGGAGTTCGAGACCAGCCTGAGCAAGAGCAAGACCCCGTCTCTACTAAAAATAGAAAGAAATTTGCTGAACAACTAAAAATATATTGAGAAAAAAATTAGCCAGGCATGGTGACGCAGGCCTGTAGTCTCAGCTATTGGGGAGGCTGAGGCAGAAGGATTGCTTCAGCCCAGAAGTTTAAGGTTGCTGTGAGGTAGGCTGACACCATGGCAGTCTAGCCCAGGCAACAGAGTGAGACTCTGTCCCAAAAAAAAAAGAAAACAACAACTTTGTTTCTTGGCTGGGCATGGTGGCTCACGCCTATAATCCTAGCACTCTGGGCGGCTGAGGCGGGAGGATTGCTTCAGCTCAGGAGTTCAAAACCAGCCTGAGCAAGAGCGAGACCCTGTATCTACTAAAAATATAAAAATTAGCCATGTATTGTGGTGTGCATCTGTAGTCCCAGCTACTCGGGAGGCCTTGTATATAGAAAATCTTGAGGGATCCACTAAAAAACTGTTGGAACTAATAAACAAGTTCAGCAAGCTTATAAGATACAATATCAGTATAAAAAATCAATTGAATATTGTAGACTTTTTTTTTTTTTTTTTTATGGCAATGGATTTTGTTCTGTCATCCAGACTGGAGTACAGTGGCTTGATTATAGCTCACTGCAGCCTCCAACTCTTGGGCTCAAGTGATTCTCCCACCTCAGCCTCCTGAATAGCTGGGACTGTAGGCATACACCATGGCACCTGGCTAATTTTTTTATGTTTTTGTATGAGATTGACTGTAAAGAGGCATGAGGGAAGTTTCTAAGGGTAGAAAGATTCTCTACCTTGATTAGAGTGTTGGGCACTCAGGTGTATACATTTGTCAAAACTTGCCAAACTGTACACTTAAAATCTGTAAATTATACTTCAGTAAAGTTAATTTATAAACAGGAGGATCACTTGAGCCCAGGAGTTTGAGGTTGCAGTGAGCTAGGCTGATGCCATGGCACTGTACTCAGGGCAACGGAGTGAGACTCTGTCTCAAAAAAAAAAAAAAACAACAGACCCTGGAGTAGGGAGAGAATCTGATTTCTAGAGTTGCTACATTCTTTATAGTGTCTAGTTTTCAACAAAAAAATCACAAGACATTGCAAAGGAACAAGAAAATATGGCCCATACAAAAGCGGGTGGGGGAATAGAAACTGCCCTTGAGAAAGCTCAGACATGGGATGACTTACTAGGTGAAGACTTTAAACCAGTTAATTTAAATATATTCTAAGAATGAAAGGAAAGAGTATCTAAAGAACTAAAAGTATAAGAACAAAGTCTCACCAAATAGAGAATATCAATAAAGAGAAATTATTAAAAAGAACCTAATAGAAGTTCTGTAGTTGAAAAGTACAATAACTGAAATGAACAATTCACTAGAGGGGCTCAACAGCAGATCTGAGCAGGCAGAAAAAAGAATCAATAAACTTGAAGATAGATCAGTTGAGATAATACAGTCTGAAGAACAGAATGAAAAAAGAATAAAGAAAAATGAATCAAGAGAGACTTATAGGATGCTATCATGCATACAAAGAAAGGCATAATGAAGGAGGAGAGAAAGGGGCAAAAGAATATTTGAAGAAAAAGCAGTCTACACCTAGACATATCATTAACTGTTGAAAGACAGAGAAAAAAGAACATCTTAAAAGCAGCAAGAGAAAAGTGACTCTTCATATATAAAAGATCCTCAGTAAAATTAACAGGTGATTTCTCATTGGAAACCATGAAGGCCAAAAGGTAATGGAGTGACATATTTAAAATTCTGAAAGAAAAAGACTTGTCAACCAAGAATTCTATACCCAGCAAACCTATCCTTCAAAAAATGAAAGAGAAGTAAAACTCTCTATTTGTGGATGATATGACCTTGCATATAGAAAATCTTGAGGGATCCACTAGAAAACTATTGGAACTAATAATAAACAAGTTCAGCAAGCTTGTAAGACATTTTTACATTTTACAATGTACATTTTAAATGTACAATTTACATTTTACAATGTCAGTATAAAAAATCAATTGTATATTATAGACTTTTTTTTTTTTATGGCAATGGATCTTGCTCTGTCATCCAGACTTGAGTGCAGTGGCTTGATTACAGCTCACTGCAGCCTCCAACTCTTGGGCTCAAGTGATCCTCCCACCTCAGCCTCCTGAATAGCTGGAACTGTAGGCACACACCATGGCACCTGGCTAATTTTTTTATGTTTTTGTATGAGATTGACTGTAAAGAGGCATGAGGGAAGTTTCTAAGGGTAGAAAGATTCTCTACTTTGATTAGAGTGTTGGGCACTCAGGTGTATATACATTTGTCAAAACTTTCCAAACTGCACACTTAAAATCTGTAAATTATACTTCAGTAAGGTTAATTTATAAAAAAGGAAACCCAGCAGTTAAAGGTTCCTCTGAATTGGCAGACATCCCACATTATGTGGTCTGCTGAGATCCCAAATTTCAGGTAAGACAGCAGGAAGCTGTATTCTGTGAATCGGAGAAAAAACAGCCTGGGACAATATTCAAGTCATCTTTCTTTTTTTTTTTTTTTTTTTTTT